CACACGCCACACACATGCATACACACAGTGCTCCGTGGTCTGAGCTTGCTACAGCCCCTTGAAAGAAAAATACAGACTATTAAGGTCACAAAGAGTATGTAAAGGTGGATAAAATTAGCTTATGATATTCAGATTCACGCTAGTCTAAGAATTATTGCAGATAACCACACAACATGAATTGGCTGGAGCCAAATTTAGGAACGCATTAGGACACACAACCAGTAACTTCACAAAATGTCAGACTATAATGTATCCAAAATTGTTTTCACATTAAGTTAGGGTCTCTCCGGCTAATGTCACTTCTAATATCAGTCTTTGAGACAATTTTGATAATCAATGTTCCAATAAAAAGATCCTTGATATCTTTTTATTGGAACAGCTCTATTTTAGTTACAGAGCGTTACACTTTAGATCCTTGATGTACAACCTATAAGCTGCCACAAAGTAACCACATCAACTTCTCTATACTTACAAAAACACAATATTTCAGGGGGGCAGCCATGTCCATTTCCCCAAACGGCCAAAGTGAAATCTGATTTTTAATTCTTAATGTATTATAATTGTGATAAGATATGATACAGCACAATTATGACTCTGACTAATTGTGTTGGTTAAATTTAATGGGGTGAATCTCAGAGTCAGCCCGGCGATGGAGTGGCGAACTGTCCAGGGTGCTGGATTGGCTCCAGCCCCCCGCAACCCTGTATGCAGGATAAGCAGTTGACGATGGATGGATGGATTCTCAAAGTCATGTAAACACGATTATAATGGAGGGTAGCTGATGCTATCATAAAAGAAAATGTTGTTCATTTACAGTTTTGGAAACTGTGGATGCGATATGTCGCAGGTAAACTAAAACTGAATCAATTCAACCTTGTAATCACTTAATAAAAAAGGTTAAATTTTGCTTTAGTTTTACTTTTAGCATAACCCAAGCCTTAAAATATTTCTTCGGGGAGCTGAGGGAGATGTCAACCCTTTTTTTAGACTCTGTGGTTTCCAATCATCTACCCACCAATTAATCAATTACTGCAATTAATTTGCTCCTTCATCAGCAAGTCTTTATAATTTTAGCCTCTCAAAAAACCACAGCATGCTATTCCTACATATACTGATCCCCGAAGGAATACAACTAATATTGAAAGTTAAAATGTTGAATTATGAAGCAGTGAGAGCAAAGGAACATGAATGGATCAAATTGGGGACTAGACAGCCAGAGCAGGGAAATGTGGAGGGCAGCGCACAACTGGTTAGATGCAGTAGAAATGATGGGGGAATCCGAGTTGGGCCTTTTCTATTAAAGCCTTTCTGACAATGTTGTATCTCATGCCACCCAAGAAATGCTCTCCAGGTGGCCAAACCAGTGCGGCATAATAGGAATGAAACCATTCCTGCAGCAGTTTTTTTTCTGGATCTGGATTTATGACACTGAGTTGATTGTATTTCTGGCTCAAAAAAGCCATGAGCTTGTGAAATAGCTGAGAGGGTGGTAGGACGGACAGAGCAGCCTATAATAGAGCTTAGCTAGTATTTTCTATTTGCCTGCACATGCTGACAATTACAACAACAATATCACACCCTCTCCATATTCTGTCACAAAGACCGTCATTTTCTCCCACCTCTCCTCTCTCTAAAGGTCAGTGTTCTTAGTTAATCATTAGTGACAAGAGGTTGTTTCTGCTTCCATTACCACCTATCCTGTTCTGTCCCAAATGATAAGATTCTAGGGTCTAATGTGCCGTACAACAGCAGTGTTTGCTATATTTCAAAAATGACTTCACCTGATTAAATAACAATCATGCTCTCACCTCTATTTAGCTCTGAACCATTCATAGACCTGCTTGTGAAAATGGCTTAAAAACAAACGAAAAGGGGTTTTCAACCGCAGGTGTGTGGATCTGCTGGGGATAATTGCTTGCTTCTCTCCTCTCTAGCATCTTTGTGGAAAAATAAAAATCTAAACTTGAAACCTGATGGATTTAAGGTATTTAAAACTACCTAATGTTGTTACAGTTGTCACTGTCAGTGGCAACAGTGTGTTTCAAACCCTGTTAAAATGTCCAGCTAAATGAAACATTTTACCACCGTGCAGCAAATAGTGTTTCCAAAACCAAACCAGTCAACACAAAGCCTTGTAATAAGGGCCACTTTACAGCCTCTCAGGTAATTATACTTGAGAGACATACTGTACATGCAGCGTTTTGTTGTGACATCAGTTAACATGCTGCAATGTAGGTATCATTGACAGAATTTAAAACAATGAACACAATGGTGCCTATTTTGTGTTTGAAAGGGACTTTTGGCTCTAAATGGGTAACAAAATTACATTGGCCTAGTCACAAACATTCAGCCCACTATGCTGGTTCATTATCTAACAGTGAGCGGGTACTGAATTGGTTGGGAAGGACAAAATGTACCAACTGGGCTCTCTATACCAATACAAATCGCGCCTGTAGTGTGAAAATGGCATTAGCTAAATTGAACTCTGGAGGGTTTCTAATGCTGTTTCCATATGTTTGTATGTGTGAATGTGGACAGTCCTATCTACACAACGCATGGCAACACACGGCAGAGGGGTCACAATGGATATCACTGACCTCTGAACAGTCCCACAGCCCCAAAAGCACGTGTTTGTTTTATGCGCGTGTTGTGTGTCGGTTGGCAACTGTGCGCACGCATTAGGGTTATTGTGTGAAGCCTCCAGTCTTTAATCCACTAATCTGCTGAACCCTGGAAATCACTGCAGTCATCTGTCAGCTGGGTCAGAGCGGGCTACAGGGTTCAACAGAAGCCCTCATGCACGCGCATGCACACAGTCAAACACACACACACACACACACACACACACACACGCACACACACACATAAACACTCAATGATGGTCATTTATTCAACAGGGCCAGCCTTGTTTCAGTCTAATGAAGATTGATGCTCCTATTTCCATGCCTCACAGGTGTTGCAGTAAAATGTATGTATGAATACGTAACCTATATAGAGGAAGGGAGGGAAAGAGATGGATTAACAGAAAGAGAGTTTCTCATTATATTCACATGTGAATTGACGAAATATACAGCATGCACATAAGTAAGTTGAGTAAAAGTCAGTCTACGTGTATCTCCATGGTTACATGCACAGAGTTAATCTTGTTGAATAGTTGTGAAGGTCCAACAAGGACATGGACTCAGAGAACCCCTAGTGCTCAGACCTCTGAGTGAAGCCTAAACCTCTCAGGCCTGTTTGTGTTGTCTGTATGTCTGTGTAGCCATGCCAAATGGGACACCCTGAGGGCTTGTCTGGAGATTGTGGTTGACACGGCCTGCTGCCGTCCAGTGTGAGCTCCTATTAGCACTTAAGACTGTGACTTGCCACACATATGCACGCACACAAACCGAACACACCGGTCATAATGATTATGCCTGGCAGGTTAAGGACTGAAGATGGATGGCAGTTGAGTGTATGTACTTGTGTCCGTGTGAGTAAAACAGACCGAGCTAAAGTACACACTGTGCACTTGTTTCCACATGCATGTGCTTGAATGTGTGTCAGGAATGATCACACGCCAATCTGAGGGCTTTGCTTTTTCATTTTGATTATATGCCCCTGTCAAAAGCTCAAGACGGAGGAGTGGAAAGTGGGAGAGGGATCAAAGAGTGTGAGAGATCACACAGATGCAGGCAGGCTTGAAGAGAGCTAAAGGTGGAGGAGGAGATAGAAGGGCCACAGAGAGAAACTGTACCAGTTAGATTGAAGTGTGAATCGCAGCAGGGCACCTCATCATCAAGATCTGTGTGGCATCTGTGTATCTGTGTTTTTATGTCATAAGGTGCTGATGATTGGCAGGTTCTGGGCTCAACAGCTGGTGTGTGGGCCTTATCCCTTGACACCCTTACTTGATACACAACTGACTCCAAAAGTTTTTCTAATGCAACCTTACAGTGATCACACGCATTAAACCCTTAACTAAGAGTCACACTCATGCCCAATGAATATTCGTTCCTGAGTGAATCCTGCAGTGTTATGGTCCTCTCTGCAGCCGGAGGGGAGCCAGCTGGGCTGTGGCTTTCAGCCCCTCTGTGTCACCAAAAAACACAGTGCATGGCAGCAGAGGCAAGATATTAAAATTCAGCACAACACACATGCACCTACACTGCCTGGACCTCTGATTTAGCCCTCCACAAAGCATAATGCCATGCATTATATTGAATCCAATATATGGCAGCATGTAAGCAAGTGGGTGAAATATTAATGAAAACAAAGAATGAAAAAACATATATAGGCTAAAGTGTTAACTCCTGACATCCAAGCCACAGCAGCTCTGACAGTCCAGAGGAGAGGAGGCACGCAGTAATGACAGGTCAAGCAGCCAATTAAAGCCCACTAGCAACTCCATCTTTGTCATGATGTGGTGAAAGCATCTTTTACGAAGGACAAACTCACTTTATCACGCATAGGGAGAGCGATGAGCTGAGGACGCTGCGCTGCGGTAAACGCGTCTGACAGGAACTAAAGGTCGGCTGTGCTCCTGCCCCTCATCACTACAGGTCTAACCCCCGCCACCTTGACACGTTAAAGAAAAGAAGCCAGGATACGTGTGTGTTTTTGTATCATGAGCTATCATGACGTTTGTATCGGCATGCCGTGCAGATGTGCTGTGCGCAAACCTCTCACACCACAAACTCCATTGCCATTCGTATAAGGTCATCGCTTCCCAGGAAGTAATAACCAGACTGCTGGACAAAATGACACATAAACGACACCGCAGAGAGACACTCGAGGTGAGCCCTGTGTGACCAATGCCTGTCAAGTGCATTCTCACCCAAGAACCACTAATGTTATTCCGACAAAAGGCACCTCAATGTCATCGCTCTGCGCTGCCCTCCCCGTCCTACTTGTCACAAGAACTGATTGCGTACACACACATGTGCAGTTTCTGGTCACAGAAGCTGGTGCGTAAACAACATGAGCGCGCATGCATAGGGATACATTTTAATATCACGTACCTGTTTCCTGCTATGCGCGGCACTCACTGCATAATCCTCCTCCTTCAACTTGAACTTTTCCTTCCCTCCAATCGAACAGCCCGAAGCTACTTGACACTTGTTTATTGCATACTTTTCTTTGCCCCGTCTATCCCGACAAGCGGCAACATACAGCGTGAGATGAGAGCACTGAGGTCGGGTGGGCTAATGTAGAGGACAGGCTATATGCCCAAATCAGGGAATCAAACGGAGCAATCCATTCCGCGGTGATGGTCGTTATGGGGAACAGTGCTGACTGGAGAAGATGGACCGAAACCGGACGAACGCAGCTGTGCGCAAACGGCGCGTCTTCTGTGGATTCTCTTCAGACCTCAGGAGCAGCGGGCATGCTCTGAACGTGAGCGACGGCCGATCGGTTAAAGCTGCGCGCGGCAGCACCAAGGGAGCGACCATCCACACATAGTATGAAGGAATGACCGAGGCTCGCGGAGCGCGCGTTCACGGCTAAGCCAAGTCAATGGTCATTATCAGCGCATGTGGAGAGTAATCCACTGTGCGCTGTTTGCTGCAGCTGCATCCCTACAAGATGACATGAAGGGATCAGCAGTGAAAGGCGTTAAACAATTAAAATCCCGAATGGAATATATGCCGAGAGCAATCTTTACAGAGCGTGTCCTTAACTGGAAATCATTATATAAGAAACAAAATATGTCCCGTTGTATGATCATAATACGTTGTTAAATATTATAAAGCCTAGCCTAACGTTTCATCATCCTGTGAAACCCTTCTAAATACTATTCTGATAACGTACACGTAGTAAAGGAATAAAAGGTCAAATTCATTATGCCAAATGGGCTACAACAACATTGCCATATATATTTACAGCCTAACAGGCAACGTTGACACTATATTTTTCCAAGCTTGAACATGCCTTCCTTAGGTGTAAGTACTTTTCTTCTGCCGGCCTAGTGCTCATTACAGTGGTCCTCATGCATCTCCTTTTAAACAGTGCACCCACTGCACTGCAGGCTACCGTTCACATTAGCACACTGCCTAATGGGCTTTCTCTGTATTAGCAGCAATAGAAAGGTGCAATAACAGAAGCATGCAATTATGCACCATAACTAGGGAAAACATTGTTAACAGTTACCCTATTGCCTCTCACTCTCCAAGCTGTAAATGCATATTTCCCAATGGAGGTATGATAATAACGCCCGCTTATTTGAAAACACCTTGTAAGGAGAACCTTGTGGCTCTTTTGATAAAGATTTCATTTCAGAGGCATTTTTATGCATAACTGGGGATTGGCAGGGGACATAAACCTCCCACTTTTGGCTTTATTTATTTATTTATTTATTTATTTGAGTCTTTTATTTCCTGTTTTGGTCGAGCAATAAGTTATCCTGTCTGCCATTGATATATTGATTAAGACAAATAATGATGTCCTCTTATAGGATAACTAAAATCTCTAAACCTTGACTTGATTTGAATTCACACATGGTTAAATCCAGAGAGAAGGGTGAAAGGAAAGAGGAGGGCATCATTGGATCTCTTGTGGGTAACACAGGTGCAGTATGAGATGAAAAATGCAGATGAGGGTAGGATGGCGAACTGAACCATTTTTAAGTTCCCAAGTGATAACCTGAAAAAAAAAATACAGCTTTGACATGGACCTACAATACCCATTTTTAATCATGCAGGTGCAACTTGTCCAGAGCTTTACAGTTTCCCCATACTGCCCATTGTGGAGTATTGTTTTTTGTTTGTTTGTTTGTTTTTACAGATAATGAGTTGAGTAAAGTTCCTTTAAGATTCAGCAACATAAGCTGTTGACAAAAATGTATTGTTGCTTACAGTAGTTTTAGTACTCATGTCAAGTGATACTCCATGAACCAAGAAACAATCATAATAAAAATTATTTAAAAAAATATGATAGATAGATTGGCAACCCCCCACCTCCTCTCATTTCCTAGGGTGTTAGTGGGGATTTAAAAGTAATGGTGTCAGCAGTATTAAATCAGTCCTCTCCATCCGTCTGCACTTAAGTCCTTGCATATGGACACACCTAGAGATTAGCCCTAATATGTCATATAACAAGCCAACACTTAGCCAGTGAGCATACATGTGGAGACCGGCCAGTGAACAAAACCAGATTAGATCGTCCAGAAGCTGCAGCCACGGGTGGCTGACTAGCGTTTTGCTCATCAGTTTAATATCGACCTCCTAGTAGACAGCCGCCAGCTTCTGCCTACAGGCTGCCCATGGGCCTCGTACTGCTATAATGCAGGATCAGTTGTGAAAATCCTTCACCCTCTTTTACCATATTAGGGCAAACCAAGGGCCTCTAGTGTAATTTAAAGTACCACTGGCATACAGCTTTCTACCCTGTCCCTTTGCCTGGTGGCATAATTAGAAACCGACATCTTGAAAAGTGATGGATCATCATAAAATCTGGCCCCTAAATGAATCTGCTGCCCGAGACTTGCTCGAATGAGGGAAAAATAATCCTGAGGCGACTTGTCAGATGCTATATGGGTAGATGAGTTAGCTGACCTTTCTCTATCACGAGCCAATATTAGCACAAGCCATTAAAACCTATCAAACACTAATGCTTAGAGCCAGTGCTCAGGGGTCCTCTAGTTGTGAATTGTGTTGCCTGCACTATCTCCACCATTACAGACTGCACAGTGTCAGGGCCTCTATTTAACCTTGTGCAATGCGTTCTGTCCGATACATCTATTTCTACCAACCATATCCACATCCTACAGGGTTAACCCTCCCTACAGTGTGTAGCTGTCGGTGTTCGGTGGGTGTATATGTGTGCCTTGCTAACGCTGAGAAGAAGATGCATTGTGTGTTAATTATATAATCAATTTGATTAATTATCAAAATGCAAATTAGCTAATTAAAGGACCTGAACTTATAGAATTACCACTGATTGGCTGGCTAAGCATTATCACTGCCCCCTGGGCACACCCATATTAAGCTATATTAACTGTAAATCATCCCACTGGTAATTCTTAAAACTGGTTATTCACAATAGTATGAAATTAATAAAAAGAAAATCTGACATATAGTGGGCTTTCAGTCACCCATGATGAGAAAAATAACAGTTACATGCCCTAAATGAAGCTGGTTATTTAATGCCATATTAACAGGCTTTCAGGCGTTTTCTTCTAGTTTTTCTCTGTCTGTCTGCTTGTTTGTCTCTTTAGTGAATAAAGCTTTGACTTTGTATTCTGTTCCCCTCATTCCTCTCATTTCTCCCTCAGAGCTGTAAGTGCGCCCCCTCCATAGTGGGAGCTGGCTGATGTGAGGCAGTAACAGGTACATCAGGGACTAGGAGAGAGTGGTGGAAGAAGAGGGAGTTGGCTTGGTTTGGCACACAAGTCTGCCGAAATTACATCAAGCAGTGGGGGGCAAATGAGCATTTACAGTATACTTGAGAGGTAGGCAATATGTGTGTGTGCGATCATTCACATGTGTGCAGTGTGTTTTCGGGGGGGAGGCATTAGATCCATCGGCATGAGTCTAGAAGCTTACAGGCAGCTTAGAGAGCAGCAGGGGGTTTGTGGCACGGGGTAGTGGAGAAGGAGGGGATGGGAGGGGGTAAGACATGAGAGGAGGGGGTTATGGAATGCTGGAGGGCTTACAGAGGAATAGGGCACAGCTGGTTTTTAATTGAGTCTCCCCCCCTACTGCACTGTGTGTACGTGTGCGCACACACACACACACACACTTATTTTTACTCAGCAATTTCCCAGCTGATGGCTCAGAGGAACTAAACACTTCGGTATGGCAGCAGCCTTCATACGAAACCCTCCACAAGGGCTCTGTTTTGGTCTTGTGACTGATAAAGCCCTTCACCAATCAAGTCCTCTGACAGCTGTGCGCTCCCATGAATTTTAGCGCTCAGTCTCAACATGAGCCGAAACAGCCTGCCTGCTGCCTTACCTCAGCTTGTGATCTCAGCTGGGAGGACCAGAGCGGTACCACACAAAACTCTTAACTGCACCTCTGTATGTTTATGTTTATTTTATTTAGTTAGGGGACAATGCACGTTAATAAACACGTGCACTTAAGTCCATCATGTAAATGTGCCAGATTTCCTTCCGCAGTCTTATATGAAAAACATTAAAAGAAAACACACATGCACATAAGACAAATAGTAAAACAATGGCATAACCACTAAGACAGATTATGGCAGCATGCTTGATTGTCTAGTAACCAATGTTTTATTCTAAAAATTATGAATGTTATGGCTAGTTATGAGATATGTCCCAGCATAACACAGAGGCAATAATTTGATCATTCATTTTGTCTTGATTTAACATTTTTCTAATTATTCATACAGTTTAGAGCTTAGTTGTTCACGCCAACACCAACCAACCAAAAGAATGGGCTAATATTCTGATTTGCATTATTTTGACCAAATACTTTTGAGCTATACTGCCCCAAAGCCAAAAGTAACTATACATTTGGTTAAAACAGATTCTTATTCTGGCATATGTTTTACCATATAAAGATTGTTATGCCACAGAAATGCTTAATTTCCATGACAAGAGCGTGTATCTACACAACGGAGCGCACTCTGGTCTCTGTGAGCCCTAGAAGCTTCTGTCACACTTTTTTGCACTGTCTCACAGAGATACAGCCAACTCGACTGATAAAGCATGAGAGCTGGTGAGATAGCCACGGCTAGCTTGAATTAAAGGAGGAAAAATGAAACTAGCTAAATAACTCCTGCTAAAAGCTTTGCAGAGTAGCAGTAGCTTTTCTATCTTTATGTCACACATTTAAATCTATTAAATTTAAATACAAGTGTTTATTGATTTCAACATAAATATGAACAGTAGACAGAAATACACATGACAGCACCTAAAAACATGAAGTATGTATTCTATATAATGAGTTACTTACAAAAAGGCTGAAAGAAGATATTTTGTACATCTTGTGTTTTCCCCTTGAAGGTTATTCAAAGACAGATTGCATATCTGCATTTTTATGTATCTATTATGGAGGAAAAATAATCACCCTAATAAAGCATAAAATAAAACACTGAAATTTTTATATTGCTATTGCTGTTTCCTGGCAAGCCTAAAACACAGTTTTCTCACCCTCACTGCCTCTGGAGTTAGTGCCCTGGTTCTGCCTTTTTGGGCAGCATTATATACTGTATATTTAAAAAATCAGCATTTTATGTTACCAAGTCATCAAAATCAAAACTGCAATATATAGGCATATTTTCCCACTTTGTTCACTAACATTACTGATGGAAACAAGCTGATGGCGTATAAGCATCAGAAAACATTTATTGCTTAGATTTAGTTGATCCATGTGATAACAAGACATGTCAATCCATATGAAGCGATGACTACTTTTATGTTTACATTAACATATTGCACATTTAACACTTAATTAGCAAGATATGATGGTACTTGCACTAT